CCCTTCATTGCCTTCTAAATATCTAATATACATTTAATACTTAAATTCAAGATGTTTGTTCAAAGATTAAATGACAAATTAATTAGCAAATTTTTCTTCTAAGATAACAACTACTGTGTATTCTGTTTATTCTATTTTATTATTTCATGATATTTTTTCTCTTTGGCAAAATACATAATATCCTGTACCCACATACTGTAGTTGTAAAATGTTAAAAAAAGACATAAGTTACTTTTATGTTAATATATACTATGTAAACTATTTACTAGTTAACTGAATTTATTAAAAGAAAAGTAGAAGAAAGCGAAACCAATGAGATGATAAAGAAGATGTCCTTGGTAACGTAGGAAATAAACAAACAGTTGTGTTGAAAACTTTAGATATGGAATTGGAGCTAAAGAGTGAGGTGTTTCATGAAGACTTGGAATTAAAATTTCTTCATTCAATAATACCCGTAAATGCTTTGTATTTAAATTCCTCATAAATCCTTTCATAGTTATTATAAACGCAAGAACTAATGAATGGAGCCTTGTTTTTTTTTGTATTTCATTAGGAAGAATAAACAATGTTTGCTCATGTACGGAAATTCTAGACGTGTGACAAAGTAAATAATATACGGGGAGTTTATTTTGTTAAAATATCTTAAAAAGAAAATTGAAAATATTGTGCGTAGGAACTCAAAAATTTATGATGTCCTCTGCCTTATAAGTATCTACGTTATTTTGGAGGAAAAAAAGACAAGCATGCGTTTCTATAGAAAATTTTTTCATTATTTTAATAAAGTTAAGTAGATGTCATGAAGAGAAGGTCAAGAAACTCAGATTTAAAAAAAAAAATCCCGAATTTTTAAGGAAGGGAAAAATAGGTTTTCGTAGAAATTAATAAAAAAAAATCCGAAAAGTTTTTCTTAAATTTAAAGCTAACTTTTTTTGAACCTTCATAAATGTTTAAACCTCTTTCTTATTTTTAAAAGACATTTACGCTTCTGGAGAAGTATGGGAACTAAAGAATGATTTCTGGTTTATGAAAATACATGGGCAATCTTTAAGATTGGATATTTTGATGTTAACTTGTATTTAAATAGGAAAAAGGTTCTGTGATGAAAGTCTAAACTATAAGTTCATCATTTTACTTTATTAAAATAAAATTTTTAAGCAAATTTCAAATATTTTATATTTTTAAAAATTTTTTCCTATTCAAATTAAAATTTTTTATTTATCACTTAAAAAAAAATTAAAAAACACTCATAAAATATTTTAAGAATTCTGTTATCCTTGTACAATATTAATTAGGCATGTTATAATTACCAATAATAATTACGTTTATTAAACTGTTACAAAAAAGTACAATTTTCAATAAGAATTCAACTTAATTATCCTTATAAACGACAAAAACTGTTACCTTAAAATTTTCGGGCTTTTTTCAAGAAATCAAGAAAATTACTAAGAATGAAAATCTTAATCCATTTCATTTTTGTTGTAAAAAAGAAAATATAAAAACTTTTCTTAATAATAAAATCCTAAATAATAATGAGCAAAAACGATGGTCGATAAATAACACGATTATATTGAAAAAAAAAAAAGAAATCTAACCAATTTTGAGTACAATTTTTGTATAAAAGAACGAACCTTAATAAAAATGTCTAGAAAATATTTTCCAATTTCGAAGTAACAATAAAAAAAAATAACAGAAATTACACACCCAAGAAAGTATATTGATCCCATATAAAAAAAGAAAAGTCAAGGGCATGCCACCAGGGAGAAAAGAAAAAAAATACTTAATTGATGGCAATATATTGAGTGCGGCACATTTTTATTTTGTACATTCCCGGCCTATTTTCAGTAAATTTCAAATTTTAACATTCATTTTTCCATTATTCCGACTGCAATTCGTCAAATTTTATATAGAAAGTAAATTTTTACGAAAAACCGAGTTCTTTATAAAATAGCTGGTAGATACTACTTCTTTCTATCGCGAAATAATTAGCAAAACATCATAAATGCGTTTTTATGTTTTTTACTTGATTAGCCGTCTATTTTTATCGTTTGTTAATGCTTTTTTGGATTTTTGATCAACTTTTTTAAATAATTTTAAAAGACATATTATAATATTAAGAAAATAAAATAAAAACAAAATATTAAATATAAAATAGAAATATGCTATTAGAAAATGTGAAAATTGAAACAGAAATGTGCTTATCTTACAAACCATTTATTTGTTCGACCCGAATTTTTTATTCGAAAAGAATAAAAATGGTTTTTAGTTGAATAAAAATTTTCAATAATATTTTGTAATACGCACAATTTTATCTCTAACCCATATTATATTTTCCTTCTCCATTCTATTTAAATATTAGAAATTTTCTTTGTTCAGATATTTAAAACTCGCGGCATATACTTGCTAGGATTTTGAGTATAATATTGAAAATACACTTTAAATAATTTCCAAAATTTGTAATTTTGCATTAAAAAGAACTGCACTAATTCTGCGTTGCGATAGTTAAATCCCGACACGTATAAATTTCTTGAAGGTTTTGTAAATTAAAAAATCTATATGGATTTAATTTTAAATTTTGAAAATTTTAGTGACTTATCAAATTCTAGTTTCTTAAGAAACACTTTTTTATTAACAAATTAATGTTGTAAAAGAATTCAAATTCCAGTTGATAAAAATGTCATCAGATTTTGTGAGAGTTTGGGGAATCAAGAATCAAAAGTTTATTTACTATAGGGAATATTTCCATCCTGGGAATAATACAAAATGTTTTTAAATTGGTTAAGATTTTGTCCTTGAGACTGAAGTTTTATAAACGTGGTAAAAGACCTATATGTGTATACAATAAGCCTATTGAAAATATTTGGGAAAAAATTTGAAAATTTAATAAAAAAAATCAAAAATTCCTTTAAAATTCTTACACATTCTTAGAATACTCTAAATATGGGTCCATACGTATTATGTACCTCTTTTCTTTTTTTATGCTCAATTACGTATGCGGGTACACGAGTACATTTTGTAACCAAAAATATAAACTTAACAATTTAAGGATGAAGAAAAATTGATTTTTTCTTCTCTTACTTAGTATATGAATTGTAGTAATTGAAGTTGTATGTTGTTTTTATCTTTTACTAATTTAGGATTAAAAATATAAGAAAATCTGATTAAAGTTTTTACATTATAACAAGGATTTAAAAAATATTATTTAAGGATAAACACTTTTTGTTTTGCTCGTCTTTTCTTGATTTTGATTCTTTTTCAAATTTAAAAAAACTTAAGTCAAGTAAATAAGTAAACTAAGAATATATGTATGTATATACATAAGTAAACTATAAAATAAACAAAAATTTTTAGTCCTTAAATTAAAGTCCTTAATAAATAAAAATTATTAGAAATTTTATTTGAAAATATTCAAAAAAAGAACGAAAATTTAAATGAAAAGTTTTTTTGTGTACTTAAATAAAGAAAAACTAAAAAAAAACATGCAAAATTATTATCTTTTTAAAATACATGAATATTTAATAAAAAATTATTTTTTTCTTTTTCTTGTAGTTGACTAAAGGATTACAACAAAATTTAGAATTTGTTGAAATATGGTTAATCATTAAGGATATTGTAATAATCTTGCAATGAAGTTGACAAGTTTTATATTATTAGTATGTAAATGAAAATTAAAAATTGTGCTTTAAATGGAAGAAGAATTGCCGACATATGACCCGACGAGTGATTGAGGTGAGGAACAAAAGGTTAAATTAGATAACATTTGCAATCAAAATATGTGAAAATGCTTTCCAAAACTGAGATTTATAATCAAAGGTGTATTTTATCGCATGGTTTGAAAAACTCCCATAAAAACAGTTTATAGTCCTATATTAAAGGAATAAAGGAGTTAAATGAAATACTCAAAGGCTGAAAAATTAAAAAACAAATATGAACGAGTTTCAGTATCTTAAGAAACGTTTGTTAGCTACAAGTTGCCAATCTTGCCTAACAATTTAAAATAATTTTAAATTTAAAACAATTTCAATTTTGAAAAAATCAACCTTCATTCCAAATATTTTGCGTAATTTCAAAATAAAAGTATATTTTTATTTTAATTAATAACAGAAAAAATGAATAATCAACGTTTGTGACCTCTAGAATTACATTTCAACTAAAAATCATAAAAAAAAATATTAATTTCTAAAAAAAATAAACCTTTATATTGTGGTTGCATTTTTTTTTTTGAATTGAATTTAAATAAAATTTTGGTTAAAAAAATATAAAATAGGAAAAATCACAAAAATATCAGTGAAGTGAAATGATCTAAAAATGAAAACATTATTTGAAACCACAATACTAACAAAAATAGTATTATGTGCAATTTATATTTTGCATTATCAGGTTCCTGAAATCAAAATACCAAAAACAAAAATAGATAAACATAAAATTACTTGAGTTGAAAAATCACTTGCTATTTTAATTTCAAAACGCACACTTCCTAAAAACAAATTTGTATTTAATTTAAATTAATAGGCGTAAAATAAGTATACATTAAAAGTTAATCTACGTGTAAAAATTGCTAATACATAGTATTCATGTACACGTACAGGGTCGAATTAAGAACGATATACAGAATTGTAGATTTAAGCATAATAATAAAACATGCACTTAATTCGAAGTTATTTGATTCAGATTGAGCTTTAGCAGGTATTAACAGGTTTATTTCGGATTTTAATAAAAATTAAATGTGATGTACAACTTTACCTTGTAATAGTACCTATTCTACAAGGGGCATGTACTACGCAAGTAATCTTATAAACCATAATGTTATAATATAATAATTAAAATACTTTAAATGGGGAGCTCAAAAACTGACTCTGCCAAATTAACACAAATTTTGGATAAAAAATTTATTATGATGTTAGGAAGTACACGTTCCCAAATAGGAAGTATGCATTTTCAAATGTAAATATCAAATAATTTTTCATCAAAGTAATATATTTTTAATTTATTTTTGATTTCAGGAACATGATAACTTTCTATTCTTTCAAGATGATGAGATGTGAAAAAGCGGAAAAGGTGATTTTCATTGAAATTTCATCAATTCCTTAATATTCTTTTATTTTTTTAACATTATATAATTTAAGACTTTTTCATACTCTACTTTGGGTACTTAATAATATTTTCATTTTAATATTTCTTTCGTTTTTTTTCAGTAAGAGAAAAAAGAAAATCATTTCGTGAATCCTATTATCAATTCACCTCATTAATTCTGAAAGTTAAGCAATAATTTTTTACTTTTACCACACACATATAGCAAATGTCACCTATATATTCGGAATTGTGTACGTATATATTTACATAAAAAAGCCTGAAGAATAAATTACTAAAATTAAAAAAGAAAAAAATGATTTTAATAATATGCTCAATGATTAAATTAAAAAAATATAATGATATTAGAGGACAGTTTTTATAAAAATCTGGTTTTTCCTGTAAACTTATAGGCTACACCGTGTCAAGTTATTACCAACTAATACAGCATTAACATATACTGTAAGAAATACAACAGGGAATCAAAAATCTAAAAAATTAAAGAAGGCAGGCCCTAATTTCCCTAATAATGGCAGCGAAGATATCATATATTTTAGTACAGGACTGCAGTATTTACTTAGCAGCTATTACATAAACCACAAAAATCCCTTAAAAATGATTTATTTCGTAGACTTAACTTAAAGTCATTTGATTCATAGAGCCAATTAATTAAAGGATAATTTGCAATCAGAATGAAAATGCAATTGCCTTGGTGGCAAGTAATTTAACCTATTCCATAAAATCGAACTTCTATTATGAAAGGAAATTCAATGATTGTAATAATTAAAATACGTACAGAAGGTAAGAGAAATTTCCATGATTAAAACTGTCTATCATCAGCGTTAATTTATAAATTAAAGGAAAAAAAATAATGCGATTTTCGTTTAAAACTTTTTTTCATAATCAAAAAATCATTTATTTTTTTTTTTAAATTCATTATGAAAGCGATATAATCTTTTCATTTGTACTACTTTGCAAAACCTTGATATATAAATATTTCAATTTATACCAGTATAGTTTTAGTATATTTCATTATGCAGTTTAAATTGTATTTATTGTAATAGGTGAACCAAAGAGCTAGCTGTTAGTTTATAATAACAATTGAAATTATGTAATGGGATTCGTCAAACGTAAAAGATATGTTCACTCCCGCTGTATAGTCACTTCCAAGTTCCAAGATTGCTACTGAAATCTTAGTTGCAATTGTTGAAATCATTCAAATCATCAAACCACCCATTATGATAATTATGTCAATATGTAATGAAACAAATCACTTCACCCATTTGTGAGACATTCGTTCATCATTCATGTTTTTAAGAGAAGTTTTTTATAACCTAAATCCCAAACGAAATGATTTTTCAATCAAAAAACTAGAACTCAAATTGAATCACTTTGTATATTTTTAAAAATTACTTGCGTTAGCCGCCAAAAATTAAGTGTATATTTTTTCAATTATTGTTAAACGAGTAAAAAAATAGAATCCCACAGCTGTGTGATACAAGTATAAAAAGTAAATGCATGAATCCTCTTAAAAGTGCCATGATTTTTTTTTTATTTTTCAATTAACTATCATTTCTTTGAGTACCTATTATTCGTTCTGTTTTTTGTTTCTTGTACCAAAGGTGGAAAAATTCAATTAAGTTTCCATAATTTAATTTTTTTATTTTTGGTTTTTCAACCAAAAAAATTTGCACAATATATAAAATTATTTTTTTTCATTTTTTTTTTCAAATAAATTTAAAATGTTTTTGTGGTTTATGATAAAAGATCAAGGAAATTGGTCACAAAGAGAGTGAAAATATTTTTTTTCATAAGAAATTTTATAGGAATAAGTAGAAAATAAGATCTGCTAAATAATTAGTTTGAGCCTATGAGAAATGTTCTCGATTTTTATTATCAAGTTGAAGTTTTTCCAATGATAATTTCTTTAATCTAGTATTTTTATATTGTAAATCAGTGATCAAAGTGGGAATGCATTGTGGTCAAATATGTGTATTGTGTCTCTTTCCTAAACGCCTCAGTATCTTTTTTAGAAAGCTCGCTTGAGACTTTTATCTTCGAACTTTGAATCTCACTTTTAGATAAAGTTTTCTTAAACTCTGAATCCTTGGTCATATAATTAACGGGTAGGCATAATTTTTTTTCAAAAAAAAGTCTTGGCCTGATCCTAATATTTTCTTAGCATTCTGGATTTCAGCCTAAAGAAAAGAATAGCGTGACGCTAACAGTTTTCTTTTCATTTATATTTTATTTAATATTCAATACAATAAATAATTTGTTATCCTTACTTGGTTTTTGACCTTTATTTCACTTCAATTAATTTTTTTTTAATTCTTCCTATTACTATTGCCATCAACTTCAATATCAGTGCTATCATCATATTTTTTTAATTTATTTTTCATCATCTCATTTAATCAAGAAAAAAAAATGCAAAGAGAACTATTTTCAAGTTTTTTCTGATTCTTAATGCCGCGCAATTGTAGAATTTGAGGTGAGTAAATTATATAAAAAAAAACAATAAAAAACAATTTTAAGTATTTTTTTATTTTTCTTTATCATTCTAGTTGTTTGCTGGTCAAAGTAAAGGTAATAAAATGAATGAATAAACGCTTAATATGGGGTACATACTTATTTTATTAAATAATCGAGAATTTTTATAATGAGGTGACGTATATAAATTAAATTTTTATAGTAAAACTCGTGCAATACTGTCATCGTTCAGGTGGTAAAACATTATATACAGATACAAATAATATACTCTTTTGGTGATGGTGAAAATTAGAATACTAATTTCATATCAAGCTGGTAGCACGATAATTTTGCATATCAGAAGAGGAACGTTTTAGAGAGGAACAGCTTCTTATAATCGTTTGAAAGGCACCACAAATGTTATTTCTGCAAATCTAGTTCTATTTGTATTCAGTATGCTTCTTTTGACATAATTAAAAATATTGGTGCTGTATCATAGTATTTAATTAAATATCAGGAATATTCCCAAAAGAATTATTCTCTTCTTCTTTTAGCAAAAAAATATGTGATGTATAACGACCGTATAGCGTTTGCAGGATTTTGGTAGCAAAAAACGATTGTACTAATTGGAATATTAAGTGATCCGGTCGCAATAACCGTTCAAACCGAACCAAGTGAAATTATACTCCTAATAATCTTACTCAAATAAAAATTGTTTTTAGTACTTTCGTAATTTTCGAAAATAGTTTTAAACTAATTCAAAAATTTTAGAGGTTCATTTTTCGTTTTAGGTGGCTGAACTGTAGAAGACGGCCAAAGCAATACTACTTCTGTATACTTCTGTATTTCGCAACTCATTAGTATATATTATTATCCTTAAATTGAATTTTAAAAAACCTAATTTGAAATCTAAAAAAAATATTAGAATTAAAAAACAACTGCTATAAAAATATTGTGGTATATACTCAAAGCACCTCTTATACCTGTCGATTGCATTATTAGATAAAGGTGCATTAAAAAAATATAAAGAATAAATTTAAAATAAAAAAAAAACATTTATTTTTTAACCTTTCCGAAACAGATGTTCTAATTTAATATAATAGCAATGTACAATAAATACAAATTTAAATTATTCAGAATTTTATACGAAAGCACAAAAAATTGAATTTAATTCATAATAATTTAGTTTACGCCACAAACCTGCATGTATGCTTTTTTTGTAATTGAAAAGAAAAACCATGTAAAATTAGATAACAAATATGGCACTGGTAACTTGTGCTGGAAACTTGTAACTGAACAAGTTCAAAACTTATTTCAAATGAATTAAGTCAATGTAATAGTCATGTTCCTTTTTATTTATACCTTAACGCCTGAAAAAAGGATTTAAAAATATTTAAAATGTATAAAAGAAGGAATTCATTAATTATCTTTAAGTTTTAATTTCTCTAATTATAATAAGGAAACATACTGCCTGCTATTAGTTTAATTTAAAGATTTAAAGTTTACTAATTTTAGGAGAAATTCAAAAGATTTCTGATAATTTTGTAATTTATGACATTTTAATTGCATTAAAAATTGAAAAATTGTTATTCACCTAGTTTTAAAAGTTTGTTAATACGAAAAATTCTTTTCAATTGGAATTTTAAATATTCATAATAAGTTATACATGTAGGTTTGATAAATTTACTTATTTAAATTTTACAATAAATAATTATCGTTTTTTAATTATGGTTCCCCAAAATATATTTTAGCACGTTACAACTTTCATATAGACCCGTGCAGTAAAATTAGCAAACTATACAATATGTAGCACCTAGCTAGAGCTTTAGTTAATAAAAATTACATTGTCACCTTAAAAATTTTTTTAATTAACTACGATTATATTTAAGTTAACTTTATTAAAAGTAAAGTTTAATTTTATTATCGTATTATTTAGTGAATTTGTGGGACAAAAAGACAAAAAATGAAAATCTTTGTAAAACTTTGCATTAAATTCATTGTAAAATTTGCACTGAAAGAAGAAAACTTTTTCATGTACCATAAAGAATATTTATAATAAGAGACAAAAGGGATAATTAAGTTTATCACATCTTAAAATCTAGATTTAAAAGTCTGGTGAAAAATTACTTTGCCTTCTTAAATTTTTCTTTTAACAAAAAAAAAGAAGAGTACCTATTAATTATCGTTATGTAATTATTAGTACATGTAAAAGATTACCAACTCTAAACCTTGGATAAGAAAAATACATATAGAAACAATGAAAATATTTTAAAATCATAAATATTAAATCATAAATTTTGGGATTTGGATTTTTATTGCATTGAAAGTGCGGTCGCCGCACTCTTCAATTATAAGAAAAACTACTTTAAATTTGAATTCTTGTTTATTTCAAGAGTAAATAATATTGTTAGGTTACAATTCATATTTTATTGTATTTTTTAAATATAATAAATTGTTTTCTTCATCATTTCGTTTAAGAATCTAACACGAGTCAATTGTACTTTATAATTAAAATAATTTCCATTAGAAAATTTTTTATTACAACACATGGTAACCTTAAACTAATAATTTGCATTTTATTCAAACTTGTTGCAATATTATCTACTTATGTATACATAATACACATTATAATGAATACCATAGCTACTGAAATTTATTAAAAAATATTCTGAAATATAGGGTTAAATATTATACATCTGTACATACTATAGAGTGTTTCTCAAGTTAAGTCTAAAAGTTTTAAACTGTATTAAATTTTTAAAAGTCCAAGAAAAATATTTTCATA